AGTTGTGCCCTCAAGCATTACCATGCATTTGGCTTTATGCATGCAGTATGCACAGCTTTGTCTATTGGGAAAGATTAAAAAAACCCCACATTTTTTTCCTAGTTGAATTTGTAGAGGAAGAAATTCCAATGGTTTCTTCCACTTTTCTATATAACTTAAAAGACAAATTTTGAGACTGAGGTTATAGACATTCATAAAGGTCATAAAATCAAATCTATAAAATCAAGTTTTCCTGATTTTTAAAAATTCTGAAAGTATTTTTCACTCTAATAGAAACTTAGGATACCCCAGAAAGAATTTTTTTATCTCTTGACTGATCTAATTTTATCACGCCTTTTAAAGCTTATGTTTGATTGAAGAGAGTGCTTTCAATTGCACAACTTGCTCATTTGTACACACGTACTGTGGTCTAATTTGTCCTGGGTGTATGCCTCAACCTTTGTTCTCCATGTGTCTATAGCCTTAATTATCCCATAAATTACTTTGAAGTCTCCAGGTATAACCTTCCTATCCAAAGTGATATTTAGTTTTTATTTATTGCTGTAGGAGCAAAAATGAGGCTGCAGAACGTGAGTAGACACAAATTGCTGACCACATATCTCCAAAGGAGGCTGAGCAGCAATTATGTTCTGTAGGTTGTCCTTTGAACCAGCACTGCCTTTTTCTGTGGTTTTTTTTATCTAATCTCAGTCTTTCAGGTCAGAAATAGTCCTAATGTTGGCTTAATAGCAATAGTGATCATTCATTCCCTGTGATCTTTTGTTTTGTTTGGGATTGCTTTCTCTTTCCAGTGTGTGATTTAAGTGCTTATATACCTTAAGCTTCAGTTCTCCACTATATCTGACACTTTTTTCAATTGTGGTTATGGGAAAACTTTTTTATCAGTACACTGGCTCAATTTTGTCAATTTTTTCCATTTGCTTCAGAAAATCTGGTATAAAATTTCTTTTTTAATTCAACTAGCTCAGAATACATTAAAAAAAAAATTGGTAAGTGCAATAGTTTTGACTTTGATTGCAGCTCAAGGTCTCACTTCTCCTATGCATCACTCATCCTAAAAAAACTCCTGTGGGACTTCAACCACCCTGATATTTGTTGGAGGGACAACATGGGCTGGCACACACAGTCCAGGAAGTTCCTACAGGTTATTGAAGAAAACTTTTTGATGGAAGTGGTGGAGGAGCCAATAAGTAAAGGTGTGTTGCTGAACCTTGAACTAAGAAATCAGGAGGGACTGGCTGAAGTTGTTGGGGACAGCCTTGGCAACCACAAGATAATGGAACTCAGGATCCTATGTGGGGGAAGCAAAACAGTAAGCAGGACTAGAACCCTGAACTTCCAGAGAGCTAACTTTGATCTCTTCAGGGACCTGCTTAGAGAAGTCCCACAGGAAATGCTCTTAAAAAAAGGGAGTCCAAGAGCACTGGTTATTATTTAAGCACCATTTCCTCCAAGCTCAAGACCAGTGTATCCCCACGATGAAGAAATCAGGCAAAGGAGGCAGGAGACCTGAATAGATGAGCAGGGAGCTCCTGGTAAGTCTCAAATGCAAGAAAGAAAAAGGGACAGGCCACACGGGAGGACTATAGGAACATTGTCAGAGTATGTAGGAATATGATGAGGAAGGCCAAGACCCACTTGAAATTAAGTCTGGCAGAGGACATCAAGGGTAAGAAGGGCTTCTACAAATACAACAGCAGGAAGAGGAGGAATAGGGGAAATGTGAGGCTGTTGCTCAATTAGATGGATGTCCTAGTAATGGAAGACACAGAGAAGGCAGAATTACTGAATGGCTCCTTTGTCTCAGTCTTCACTGCTGAGGATGGCTTTCAGGAGTCCCAGACCCCAGAGGTAAGAGAAGAAGGCCAGAGAAAGGAAGACTTCCTCCTGGTCATAGAGGGTTGAGTTAGAGATTGGCTAGACAGACTAAACACCCGTAAATCCATGAGCCCTGATGGAATGCAGCCACAGGTGCAGAGGGAGCTGGCAGATGTTGTTGCTCTGTCACTCTTCACCATCTTTGAAAAATCATGGAGAATGGGAGAGGTGCCTAATAACTGGAGGAAGACCAATGTTTACTCCCATCTTCAAAAAGAGAAGAAGGAGGACCCTTGAAATGACTGGCCAGTCAGCCTCACCTCCATCCCTGGAAAGGTTGATGTAACAGGGCATTTTGAAGGTCATCAATAAGATGTAGAAGAAAAGAAGGTTGTCAGGAGTAGTCAGCGTGGATTCACCAAAGGGAAATCATGCTTGACCAATCTGATAGCCTTCTATGATAACGTGGCAGGTTGGGTTGGTGAAGTGAGAGCAGTGGATGTTGTCTAACTTAGATTCAGCAAGACTTTTGACACTGTCTCCCATAGCATCCTTGTGGGTAAGCTCAGGAAATGTGTGTAAGATGAATGGACAGTGAGGTGCATCAAGAACTGTGGCTGAATGGCAGAGCTCAGAGGGTAGTGGTCAGCAGGGTAGAATCCAGTTGGAGGTCTGTAGTTAGCAGTGTGCCCCGGGAATCAGTACTGGGTCCAGTCTCATTCAGCTTGTTTATCAACTACCTGGACAAAGAGATAGAACGTACCCTCAGCAAGTCTGATGATAGGAAACTGGGGGGAGTAGCTGATACACCTAAAATACAAGAAGTTTCACCTCAACATGAGGAAGAGCTTCTTTATGTTGAGGATGGCAGAGCACTGGAACTGGCTGCTGAGGGAGGTCATGGAGTCTCCCTTTCTGGAGGCATTCAAAACCTGGACACGTTTTGTGTACCCACCTGTATACGTTACCTGTGACCCTGCCTTGGCAGGGGGATTGAACTGGATGATTTTCAGAGGTTCCTTCCAACACTAACAATTCTGTGATTCTGTGATTTTGTTAGTTTGAACCCTTTCTGTTGTGGTAGAAGTTTCCTTCTTTCAGAGAAGAAAACAGGCTCTGCAGGAAGATGTGTAAGAGTCGCATCCAGTCACAGCCACGGACACCTTTAGGGTTGGTGAAAGTCAGGGAATACACCCAAGTTGAAGGTAACTTCAGCGAAGAAAGAGTATCTGTCTGTCTCTCTATCTATCTATCTAAAAACACCTTCTGAGAATGAATATTATCCTTTCTTATGTAGCACTTATACCAAATTAAGTTTTGAAGCACATGCAAAGCCCGTGGGCTCTTACACGTCATGAGTTGATCTCTTTCCTTCTCACCAAAGCTACTTTGTAGTGGCAATTTTGTGCATGTTGCCTGGCAGTAAGTGTTGATAATTAAACTGGGCCCCAGTCCCAGTGCACGTGAAGAGGTTGGTTTTGTCTGCTCTCAAAGGTGTCACATTGCGTAGGAACTTTGGAGGTGAAGATATTTCATCTGTTCTGCGGGAGAATTTGCAAATGCTGCCCATCTTAGAAACCATAAGGAATGTATCTTTTCTCTGGTCATTAAAATGTGTCTTTGTGGGATAAATTAGTCTACAAGTTTTGTCAAAGGTGCAGAAACTAATATATTGATTTTGACAGTACTTTAGTCCTGTGCCAAATGGGGCTTCAAAAAGGGGAAAAATTCCACTAATAAAGAACACTTTTCTCAAAATCTTTCAGTGTATTCACCCCAAACAAGATATAGTGTCTGTCCTTAAGCAGAATAAATGTTGACTATCATATGTTAGGGTTCCCCTCCCCCCCCCAAATCCATATGTAGACCAATAGCCCACAGATTCATCAACCTCCTTTTGAACATGCTGGCACTCTCTGTCTCCACAACCAGGACCTTCTTTTAGCAAGCTGTGGAATTACTCTACCTCTTTTGCATAAATATGCTTTCATTTAAATCTCCTATTAGTCTCCAGTATCCTTAGTTCTAGTATTACAAAACTTTGTAAATAGTAGTTCAAAACTATGTTGGATATATGGGTAGGGCAAAATTTTGTATGGCAACAAAATAGTTGTAAATATTCATTATTCTGTATTATTTTGTATTCTTTTAAAAAGAAAAAATGAGCCTTTATTTTACTGTTTATAGCACTGGTACTGAACAGAGCATTTCATTATGCTATCTGCAGTGCTAGTAAATAGTTTTCCTGCCTGTTTAAGTGCTTCAGAAGCCAGATTTTTATTCCAAAACATACATGATAAAAAAAGTTAAATACTTATGTTGTAATTCTAATTAACATTATGTTCACTTTAATTGTAGTTTAGCTTCTCTATTTCTCATTTTTCTATTGTTAGTCAAGCTTTTAAGTAGAAATGCTAGTTTCTAGTTAGAATATAACATTTGAAGTGCAGAGGGATTTAGAGCAAAAAAATCTTGCTGACGACCTATGTCATATGTGAATGAATCAATGAGATGGAGAATGGAAATTAAATGATGGCTTTCATAAGAAACAGGAAATTAAGGCTCTGTGTTCAGGGCATCAAGGAAGACTCCACTTTAAGATAGAGATCATTCCCTGTTTAGTTCATGAGACCTCACTATGGCAATATACCAGCTGTTAACAAAGTAAATGATTAGTGACCAAGCATTCAACATATTTGCCATTGTGTTTTTTAGCAAACTGTAATCTGGAAACTAAAAGAAGATGGCACTGAGCACTTTGTGCTCTTCAAAAACATCTTTAATCATCTCTGTTATTGATCCTCTCTTACTTTATGTTCCAACAAAAAAATTGAGTATACCTAAAACCAAAAGATAAGCAGTGAAAAATTGATTTATTTCCTCTGTTGTACTTCTGTGTCTGTATGAAGATTTATATTTTAATTTTGATCACAGATATGGCAATATTATTATTACAGATATGGCAATACTGGTAATTTTTAACTATAGTAAATCTAATGTATATGGTTGCGTCACTTTAACCGAAATCCTTTTTGCTTACTTTTTGGGCTCAAATACATGTGGACTGAAACTTAACAGCTTTAAAAATATTTACTGACTTTAACATTACAATGGACATCACTTTTCCTTATGAGTTCATGACTGTGAATGTGTGCTGAAAATGTAATGCTCTCTTATTACAGCTTCTGCAAACAGGACAAGCTGCCCATTACGTTTCAGTCCTGTGTGATCACGAAGGAGTGCCAGGTGTCAGAGTGGTCAGAATGGACCCCCTGCTCCAAAACCTGCTTTGACATGACAACCCCCAAAGGGAATCGTACAAGATCACGGACCATTAAACAACTCCCTGTTGGCAGTGAAAGTGAATGCCCACAATTAGAAGAAGCAGAGCAGTGTATTTCCCAAGGAGATGGCGTAGCACCGTGCATTACGTAAGCTGGTTCATTTCAGTTCTCCCTATATTAAGATGAACAGTTGCAATTAAGTGCACAGGGCTGGTGATGGAATACCAACCAAACTATTATTAAAGAAATAATAGCTATGACTTTACGGGTTTTTTTAATCCTTTGTGTATTTAGTGTTCTTGAAAGCCTGAAGCCTGCAAATAGCTCCTATTATAGTGTAACCAGTTTCTCCTCTAAATAGGAAATATAACAAGTACATTTTTTTCCATTTGTTTCAGTTTTTAAAAGATTTTAAAATATTAGTGCATATGCAGGCTCAGACAAGATGAAAAGAAGTTATTTTTACTGATTTTTCAGTGATATTTTTCCTATATAACATTTCTATCAGAATCATTGTTTTCTGAAATACTTGTCTGTTTGCAGACAAAATGTTGAACACAGAAAAGAGTGATAGACATCTGGTTAACAAACAGACTATTTTAGTGAGACTTGTATTCAGCACAACATAGGCATTACTGAGCCCCAAATGGAAAATGGGAGAGGATAACAGTGACGGTAAATAAAGTTTAGGAGAAATGACAGCAAGCACTTTACGATTCAAGAGATTGCTGTAATCCTTATCAACTAATCAAGATTAATATTAAAGTCACAACTGTGCTTTTTCTTTATCAAATTGAGAAGAGGGTCTGGAGAAATTTCATTTGATGTTAAGCATCTTTGACTGTGGTATATATTTTTCATTTAAGTGTTGAAATGTCATCTTTCCCTATCTCCAGCTACATTAGGAAGCACTTTGCTTGATTTAGCCTTAAAGTACTTGTTGGGCAGAGAATTCTGTGGCATTTCTTGCCGTTCATAATCCCTATTGGGGTTTTAACTATAAGTCAAAGATCTTCTTTCTTGTGCATTCACTGATTAGAATGCTCACAGCTTCTCACCATTCATCAGTACCCAGCAGGGATGCTTCAGTACTGCAGAACAATCTTTCTCTTAACTGCAAAAAAGGAACTTACTGAAAGGTTTTTATGTAGTAATAATAAAAAAATTACCATTATACTTTCACCTTGATATCTGAGAGAAACTTTCATGTCTCCTATCAAATATGAACAATGGGCTTTTGGGTTATTTTGGGGGGTTGAGTTGTTGTGGGGTTTTCCCCTCCTTTTCTGGCTCTTACATTTCTCTTCATTCACATGTCTTTATATTTTGGCTTTAGTTTATATAAATTTTCTAGCTCTAAAAAATGCTGAGAATCACAATCTTGAAAGTGAACTTACGTGAACATGGACTATATGTCTCGATATCAAGTTTTTCTTCCCTCAAATAAAATATTTATATGTGTGGTATGTTTCAGGAATTGAACAGAAAAGATGTTCCTAAAGAGTAATAATTTAAAAAATTAAATGTTAGGGAAAATGTTCCAACCATATAAAATATGAGACTTAACTCACCTCTGTGTGCAAGAAATTGTGGTGCTCTGGCCTTTTAGAAAATTAATAAAGCTACTAAGGTGTTTCAGCTTGTATAAATTAATGCTGTGTAAAATGGCTTCATGATTTCTAAAGACCCAATGAATCAAATTTGATACAGGTATGGTTGGCGGACCACAGAGTGGACAGAATGCCGTGTCGATCCTCTCCTTAGCCAACAGGACAAGAGGCGAGGAAATCAGACGGCGCTGTGCGGAGGTGGCATTCAAACCAGGGAAATGTACTGCGTGCAAGCCAATGAAAATCTTCTCTCCTACCTAAATACCCTCAAGGATAAAGAAGGTAAATTTGATTCAATTGCATTTGAATTAGTGTGAAACCAGAGCATGTCAGCATTCCAGAGCTCCTTGACAGCCATTGTCTTCTGCCATGAGTGCCTTCTTACCTTGTGGGTTACTGCTATTTTCGAATTCAAATGAAAATGCTTAATTCGTGTAGCAGAGATTTCATTCTCTGTGCTGCAAATATAGGTTCCTAGCTACAAATTACTCTCTCTTAATATCTACTGAAAACTACTGTCTTATGTGAAGAATGTCTCTCAATAAGAAAGAGCATGAGAAGGTGGGTCAGAAATCCTAGATTTGGTTCCTTCATCTGCTGCAAATTTCTTGTGTATCCTTCAGCTGGGTGATGAACTTGTACTGTTTGATGTGTGGATGGAATATGTCAATTCTGGCATGTAAGCTCAATATAGAAAAATTAAAAAATATGATTATATTTAATTCTCAGGAAATTGATTTTTTTTTCTTCCTTTCTTGATTTGTCCAAGTTCTTAAGTAGCCTTCAGAACTTCAAGCCAATATAATTTCATCTGTTTATTTCCCTAACTGAAAGAGAGGAGAGATTATTCCTTGTCACTGTTACAGCTTGTACAGCTTTTTAAGAAGAAAGAGAATAGCTTAGGAGACAAAATCTTTAATTCCTTTGGTAATGTATGTACTGTAGAACAACACTTGAGTAGTTTGTCATACTACTGCATACTAATGAATCACTATAGATTTAGAAATCAGTGAATTAAGCTAAATGCATTTAGCTTTTTAATTGTTTTATCCTCTTCTGTACCTGTCTCATACAAACACACATTATTATTAATAAAAATAAATAAATAAATGCAGCCACATACTTCAGGAAAAGCAACATCATTGTACGAGTCCTGTGTAATACAACCTCTAGACCAGGGTTGGCCAAACTGCAGGCTAGTGAGGCTTCTGCTTTGGTTTAAAGGTACTCTCAAACTTGCCACAGAGGCAGAGTTTGTGGGGAATATTAATGCCAACAACCATTTCAGCATGATTGCTGGGATCAGTAGCAGTGAGCTACTGAGCATTATGAGCTCCGCAGGCCCCACATCTGTATTTATAAAAGAAGAAGCTTTCAAGCCTCTTCATTTAATGAAAATCAGCTTCTGCCCAAGGGCTTTTAGTAAATCGCCTCTGTGGAACAAAGTTTAGATGCCCCTGCAATAGTGTGAATGAGGAAAACCTCCCAGCTAAGGAGAAGTAACAATAAAACCAGTGGCAGCTTACTGTTCAGAATGATGATTAGGATTTTGGTAGGCTGTGAAGTCTTGCCGGCTTAGGCGGGTGTGAAATCTACCCTTATCAGACTGTGACAGGAATACGCAGAGCCCATCAGGAGGTAATCTCTGCAGGCCCTGGAAAGCTGATTAAAATGTAACTAGTCTTTGGATGCATAAACATGAGAACAGTTTTTCAAGAGCTCAAACTGGGGGTGAAGTGGGTCTTAGTTTAAAAGAAAGCTCTGGGCTGTTTCCATATTAGGGGATAGATTTTCAGAAGAGCTGCTGCTTCTCTCATCCTTCCTCCCTCTCCCCTCATAGAAACATACTCATACAAAATCTGAGGATGGAGAAAAGCCAGGTAACACACTCACCAGATTTAGCTGTGGGGAAACGCCTTCATTTCAGTGTAGTTTGCGGTCGATGGTTGGGAATGCTGTCTGAGTAAGGCTGCTTTAAAGACCTCCATTCTTATATACTCATGGTGGCGTTTCCCTGTTATTTCAGAAAGTCAGTCACAGATCAAGTCGAAGGCTAGTGCTGCACCTCTGCTATCAATCACTTTTGAAATAACAGGTAGGTAAATTAAAGCCTCTGACCTGGCCTTTTGATTAAAAGCATGCAAAGGAGGCAATATCCCTTTTGGGAGACCTTGTTGGCTATATGTGTATAATTAACATGTTTAGGTAGCTCTGAAATATTTAAATGGATTCATGCATTCTCAGGAAATTTCAGGTCAGTTTGAAAGTGACAGGCCCAAACTCAAACTAATGATGATGAGCCTGCTGGGATGCTGGAATAGTTTCCTGCTCCACTCCTTTCAGTTCTGAGCTCTGGGAATTGTTTTGCAGTTTTCATCATAGCAGCTGTTTCCAATCCCTTCTATAGATTTAAAACACTGAGTTAGGGCTCCAGTAAGAATTTGAACTTTTAATACGTAGCTGAACCAGAATCCCTCATGGCATTCAGGTCAGAAGGAAGAAGAAGGAGTATTGGATGTAGTATTTAAGCAGGTGGCAATCAAGTTTCATTGAGGCCATTGTCGTTCTGCCATTTACTTGACACTTACTTAAATCGTTTCATCTCTATTCACCTCAACTGGTTTCATCACAAAGCTTCTCTCACTGTAAGATGGGGTGGATATTGTCATCTTTTTACAAGTACCTTTAAATCCTTTGATGTAGAATAAGAATAGGAGAAAAGTTCCTTCATGGGCATAATTTTATGCTACATCTGCAAACACACAGTCACTGCCCTCTTAAACACAGGAGAGCTGCATACATGCACAGACTTGTGCTGTTTCTTAGGCTATCAGGTTCTGAATTATCTAATGAATTTTGATGATAGAATTCAACATTATAGAAAGAAGAATATGAATTCTTTAATTGTTGGTCAATTAATATGTTTTGGGCTTGAGTTCTTCTTGGGTTTTTTGAGTGTAGTACTTTACTTGAAGAAATTTCCTATGAAACCGATATGACAAATGACTAGAAAGAGAAATATGAAGTTGTGTCTGCTTGTGTCTGTATGTGACACTGATGCAGTCACATATAAATTCACTCTTTTCGCCATCCTGGTCATTACTGGGCACCAATCTATTGAGGGTTTCTAGAGACAGATGGGGAGTTCGAGATCTTGATATATGTAGCAAATGCATAAGAACAGAACTGTTCTTTTTCAATTCTTTTTTAAATTCAGTTACTTGAGGAGGTGTTTTAGAAGGGTATAAAATATATTCAGCTAAAATTTCCTGATAGAGCAGATAATTTGAGGACAGGATGATTGAATCTAATTTTGGTTTTTAGATCACTACTCTCAAACCTGAAATTTATTGAAAACTGAATCTAAATTTTAGTCAGACAGAAGGAGAAAGAGAGATTATCAAAATGCATTCACTTTTCTCTCCATTCTTGGCCCAAAATTTGGTCAAATTTAACATCGATCTTGTAGTATTACACACAGTCTAATCAGCATTCAACATCACTTTGAAGGAAAAAAGAACAATCCTTATTGCTGCCACAAGAGAGTATGAAAGGACAGAGATAAGACAAGGTTTTAAACTGTAAAGTTCTGCATCCAGAATCATTGTCTCTGAGAGTGTCTTTGATAAAAAGTAAGAATCAAAAGCTGAGCTCATTTATACTTTTTTGATACTGAAAGAAATCCATTTAAACTGATGGGAGCAAGATGGTCATAAAATACCAAGGCAAGGCTGTTTTCTTATTTTACTGTCCTCTCAAAGAAAGAATTCTGAGTAATCCTGCATGAATGCATCCTTAATGCTTCATGATGAAAACATTTTTTTTAATAACCTGAAAGATTTTTTAATAACCTGAAACTTATCTGTCCTACTGTTGAATTCTTTTGTTTTAAAAGCAATATATCACAGATCTGTTAGCAGACATTTATACATAATTTATGGTCTAAACGCATTTCAAAAACATTTTGGCATATTTAGAGATTTATTGATACCTATGGTATGAAGAACCTGCTATTTAAAGCTTCCTGAGGAAAGATCTTTTGTTATAGTGTGATGGTAAGTTCTTTATCCAGATGCAGGCTGGAGATGAAGCATGGCATTCCTCAGAATACTTTCTCTGTTCCCTGAAGCAAGGCTGCATCTCAGGGGTGTAATTGACCCTTAATTTCAACTGTCTCACTTGGGTAATTCCCTGATTAAATCAAGGTTTAAAAAGTACAGATAGGAATTACTTACGGGTTTTCTTTTTTTATTAGAGAATATTCAATTCAAACTCAATTACAGGCAAATTATTTTTATTTATATCCATTTTCTACACAAAATATGCATATTATGTTGATTATCATGCATGTTAGTTGTGCATGTCAAACTAACTGTAAAATTCAATGTTCTGTCATAAAATTTAATTCCAAAATAGCATTATGCAAATGTTGGAATATTTGGTTTTGTATTATTTTGTGTTGAGAGATTGGTGAGCTGGAGGCAGTAATGTTGAAGGACTATGGGCCATCTTCATGCCTTCATTACATGGAGCAACACAGTGTAAAACTGTGCCAAAGGAGGCAATGTGGAAAATCAGAAGAGGGGGAGGATTTTTCATTCCCTTTTCCCCTTAAAAAAGTGAGAATTGAATGGTTTTGCTGTAACTGGAAAGATCATCTACTTAGAAAGTCTGAAGTGAAAAACACACGCACATGTCTACAAGTAAAACCCCACTTTAACAACATGGTATTTACTTTCACATTATATCAGTTGTTATTGATCTCATCTTTAAGAAGGATATTTTGTCATATTCTGAACTTATTCTATCAGAGAACTCTTCCATCAAAAGAAATTATTTGTAGTGGTGGCAAAAAATTAATGAGGTAACCTTCCTGTGAAAAAAAATGCTGAGCGAGTAGAATGAGAGTGTTTTAAGTTAAGGAATGGCATGTTTTTTCAATCAACTGATGTGAATTAATGTGGCAGATTTCACTTTACCTGCTAGCAGATATTCTCTGCTTAGTGTAATATTTTTTCAAGTCCTGAATTATGAAAGAGAACTAAAGTCTTGCTTGCAATGAAATGGTACATTTTGAGTTAGAGTTCTGCACCTTACTCTGGTATCTTCTAGAGTTGTCCTATTATTTGCATGACTTGGGAAGTCAAAGGTTAAAGTATGGAAGGAGAGAGTGATTTTGGCCTGGCTTATTGATTCCTAAAGATCAGAAGACACTGCTTTCAGAAGTGTCTTTATAGATTAATAATACTTTAATGAAAAAATAAATTGTGCCATTTTAATTACTTTGAATAGATTACTTATATATATTTACAGTATATGCAAACCATATATATTTGAAACAAAGCCTGTCTTGAACTAAAGCTTCCACTGCACAAATCTTACTGCTGAGTGTGCACTTTACAGTCTTTAGAGTCAAAGAAGAAAACAATTTGTAATTTTAGCTTGTTTCAAGTTATAGCTTAAAAATAATCTTTTAAATATTAATTAAGCAGTCTTTTGAAGTTACTGTATCATATACTATATATACACAAGTGTGAAGGGATTTATACAGGGTTTTTTTCAGTTTCTTAAGAAAGGAAGTAGTAAGATAGGACATCAATTTACAGAGTGCAAAGTGAACAATTATTGTAGCAGCATAATTTATCCCTGGAGCCCCTGGTGGTCTAGCGGTAAAGGCGCCGCGCTATCACCGCGGAGACCCGGGTTCGATTCCCGGTCAGGGCCACTCCCGGGCAGGTGGGGCTCGTTAGCCCTTAAAGGCAACCCACCTACGTCCTAAGGACCTCGCTGCCACCGTCCAAGCTCGCTTGGCCCCGGCAGATGAACCTTAGGATTAAAGGGTGGGCTCAGTTCCGCGCACACTGTGTCTCACCTAAAAAATCCAATGCGCAGGCTGGAAGGTGGAAAGACCTTCCCCGGATCTTCGCTCGCGAAGACTGGCCATTATTATTATTATAATTTATCCCTTAAATGCAAGGACTAGTCTAAGAGTATGCTGCAATATCTACAGTCTCCCTGACTCCACATAATCGGATTTGACTCTGTTCGTGTGGACAGTAAACTGACTTCTGTTTCATTTTTTCAAAGTGGGCATTTTTCCATCACTTCTTCAATTTAAAATTATGAGATAGCAGCCTTTCTAACTGAAGGATGGTTCTGTCCATGTAAAGCTGACATGTGAGAAATGTTTCAACTTTGTTTTGACAGCTTCAAGGCCGGTGGACCGTAAACTGTGTACAGGACCTCTTCCCAGCACCTCCCAGCTGTGCCATATTCCCTGTCCTATAGAATGTGAGACCTCAGCATGGTCAGCCTGGGGACCATGCACCTATGAAAGCTGTGATGACCCTCAGGCCAAGAAGGGTATGTAAAAATTCAGCAGATCCTTTTAATGGTGATTAATATTCCTGAGTCACTAGGAACCTCTGGCTGTGCAAGCACACTAACTTGTGTACCAAGAAGTGTATATCCAGTGCCTCTGAGCATCAAAATAAGGTCATTGAATTAGGCCTATATTTAACATTACTGTTACATGAAGGCTGGCAAAAATGTAGCCTGTTTACTAGACTCTCAAGATTAGTTTGCATTTTTACAAATGAATTCCAGTTTCAAGCCTTTCTCTCAGATTGAAAGGAATATAGTTTATCTGTGTGTTCAAATCACAATTCTGGCACTGTCTCAATAAGAGGACAGAGGCAGCCTTTGAGTTATGTAGTGTCCAAGTGAATCAAAGATTTACAGTTCAGTAATAGCTTAGGGATTCACCATTAGACCGTAAAGCATGATCTGGCAAGGAAATGGGACCATTCATTGTTGATACGTGACACTGTTTTCCTGATGACATATGTGCTGGTTTCAATTTCAGCATGTTTTACAGCTTATTTCCATGCTGAACAGATTGTAGTAACCTGACATCAAAATAGGAAAGCAAGAATACAGTGACAGGGACCTCATGTTAGAAGTCTGTGGGTTCCTGGCTGTAAATGAGAAAAACTGGCCTAGTCATTGCTGCAATGTGATTATCTGACAAAAGCTGGGAATACAGACTTGGTTCCTTGATTAAAAACAGCCATAAGAAAGGGCAGCTGCATATGTCCACTTGAAGGAGCAAGCATGATTAGTATGTTAGTTTAGCTGTGTCTTTCTGGCATACTGCTAGCTACACTTCTGTGTGGGCAGCAACAATGCAAGTTTTGCAAAGCTGTTTTGCAGAACTCTGACCCAACTTTGATCAATTCAAGAAGGAAAAAGCAGTTCAGTGTGTAAGCCTATTGGATTAAGTCTCCTCTGAGTATAGCTGTCGTCTGTTATTTCTGTTGCTGTTCCATCACTGAAAGGTTTGCTACATTTTGGGGCGTAAAGTTTAGGTTTGTGAGACTGATTTGGACATCTGCCTAAAGGAAATATATTAAGATGTACATTATATAAGCCTTTATTCCTGCACACATGAGCAGGGATCTTTTCTCAACTGCCAGTGTTTTCCTTGTATCTGGAAATTCTTACATTTTATTTTATAATTGCATTGACAGTTCTTCTGAGAGAATGATGTGAAAGTTGTACAGGCACTCCCACTTTTAGCAGCATATCTTTCTACATATTTCCAGATCACTTGCCTCCTTTGTTGCTGCAGACACTGGAGTTCTTTATTTTTGAAATTATATCAGCCTTTTGTGTCAGACTTACTAAACCATTTGCCCATAATTTGGCTGATCTCTTCAGTTTAGGAAAAACCCTTCATAAAAACAACAATTGAAGATACATGGAAATGTATTTTTAAAGTAATATTTATTATAATTAAATTAAGAGGCATGTCGTCAAACAAAGAATTAATTATTGCACATATGTGTTTGACAACTCTCTGGTTTAGTTTGTGTTCTGGTAGAAATTAAAGAGTTATATGTAGAATTTTATGAAAAATATCTGTATAATACTAATCTGCCTGAACACTGATATAAAAAAAAGAGACTGTGAAAAGAAAAAAACCCTTGCCAAAGTTAAAAATATTCCGATCAGATAGAAACTATAGAAAGCTATTGCATGAGAAACTATTTTTTTAATCCATTCAATTTGGTTAGGCTATTCTGACTATATGTAGTCTGGCTTTTTCAACATTCCATCCTGAAAGCGGGAGAGGGGGTTGCTCTTGGTTACTAGCATTGACCTCGCAGGTGACACACTGTGTAATGGCCCATCAGTTTCTCCATCCCAAAATGAGTTTGGGTAGTCTTAAGGAAATTTTTAAATGCTTTCAAAGGAATATTGTGATATTTATTACTGCAAATTTGTTCATAGGACTTCTTGGTTTTATTTCCATGCCTTTTCTCACAGTGTAGTCTTTTTATTCTTCTATTTCATTTTGGGGGGGGGGGGAGTTGGAGCAGGAATGTAGTGTTTATAAGCTGATTTCATTTGGTAATCCATCCCTATTGGAAGATATCTGACAAGAAAACAAACAATATGTTTGAGAAATGGCAACCCAGCAATCTAGGCAAGATTTATTAGATGAGATGGACCTGGCCAGATAGATAAAAAAATGCTTTGCTTTGCATTTTAAAGATGAATTGTTATTTTCATGGACTTTTCAGGCTTTAAACTGAGGAAACGTCGCATCACCAATGAGCCTACAGGAGGAACAGGAAACTGCCCTCACCTGCTGGAAGCCATCCCGTGTGAAGAGCCCTCATGCTATGACTGGAGAATCATAGGGCTGGAAGAATGCATTCCAGACAATGAAAAGCCATGTGGCCCTGGTACACAGGTTCCTGTTGTCGTCTGTGTCAACAGTGATGGTAAGATGCTTTTTCCTGCAGTACACACCAACTAGAGTGAAGGTGCTAATATGTAGTCCAAAAGGGTAGCAGTTTTTGTTCTCAGCTTTCTTGATCCTTAAAACCAAGAGGTCTGGAATAGAAATAAATGTCCTTTAGTATTGGTTAGGAAGGGTAAGACCTCTAGCTGCTCTAGGATCAAGGCCCTTCATCTGCACGCTGTAGATCTTCAAAGATAATTGAGGAGACTTTGAGAAAATTAATAGAAAACAACTATCGTTCATCAGTAGATCAGACTCATGCCTGCAGTGGCGTGACTGAATTCCCTGATGTAATCCCACTAACAAAGCTGATCCTCTCAGTCCAGGAAAAAATAAAGTGTGAGTTAACCAAGGCGCATTGCAGTAAGTATAGCTGGAAGAAAAATAATAATGTGTTTATTAAAAAGCATGGTTTGATGTGTGTTATGGAGCTGGGTTGACAATCTGAGCTGTCTTGCTTCTACAAAAGGTCAAAAAATACCACCATTATTCAATTATCTTCTGTGGGAGAAAACAGATTTTGCATGACATAGTCACAAAAGCCAGTTTTGAAAGCTGCTTACAGAATACTTTAATCTACAGAAGATTCATGAATTATTGTTGCAAGAATATTCCTTACTCATTAGTGATATTATAGTCTAGAGCAGCGTATAAATTAAAACAATTTTACTGACTACAGTGTAATATGGTAATAGGCTTCTAACTCCCTACAGAGGATTAAGAGGACACGTCGGATGAGTGTTAACAGCTGCACAAAATATTTTGAAATTAAATTGATCAGAAGTAATAAGAACTGATTGTAGAGATATTTAAATCTTAGGATTTCATGCTGAAGAATTTGGGTCATAATTGAGTTTTGGGGCTTAAATTGAAAAGCTTAGGTTTAGAGTGTAAGCTTTATTTTTCTGTATACACCTAAGGGAACTGGTAACCATTTTTACAGCTCAGAAAGAGATTAGACTAAAGTTACAGTACTGAATATACTGTATTTTTGTCCTTATCTCAAAAAATTTCCCTTTGTAATGTAATAATTTCTTGGCAACAACACTGAAACTATTTGCATTTTGCTTGTGTACATTTTTGGGTGAAAAATGGCTTTTTCCTTATAAATGAAAGAGTTTCCTGAATAATTGTTATTTTTTTCTCTCTTTTTTTGATAGCAAAAAAAATTGATCTGTAAAACAAAAAGAAATAGTTTGTTTTGGTTTGGTTTTTTTTTTCTTTACTAGATTTTGGTTAGTTTGGTTTACTTTTTTTGGGGGGGTGGGGAGGGTATTTTCTCACATGTTACCTAATTGCTTACTAAATTGTGATATAGCAATTTATATTGATTATAACTTATTGTATATTTGGAATATGCAATTACTTTGAGATATCTTTTAAGTAGATGGTATTTTCTGTTGAAAACTCACAGGGTTTGCTCTCTGCACTGCATGAGCTTTGGTTTTGGCCAAATTTGACTTTGAAGACTTGTGATAGTTTTTTACTCACAGTATTAATCTTTGTCTCTCTGTCTTTCTGAATTATATGGCATTATACATTGCCTATGTCAGCTGTCTTCCCCAGAAGCAGTGAGAAGTCAGGCTTTGGCCAAATGCCTGTCAGTGGTTAAAGTTAAAGACTTGTGGGCATAGTTTCAAAGAAAGGAGAAAACAGATTGCAATTATGGCTTGTTTTGCAAAGATCCAATCACCCACAAAGGTACGTGTTCAATACGACAGAGTGCAAAAGCAATGAAGAGTAATATAGTGGATCGCCCCAGCTCTCCTTTGAATCCCTTCTCTTAGTAAACAATATTCTGTGTATTTTACTGGTAATACCGAGTGTCTTTTGCTTAAGTCTCTCCTGAGAAAGATTAGCATGATGAAGTAGAAGCAAAGTACAAAGTAAGCACCCACAAACCTCAGCATTCTCTCCCTCCAAACTGTCTCTTCTCAAGCATCTCCTTACTTTGTCTCCCATAGCACCAACCCCCTAAAAAACCTGTAGGCAACTCTTAAATACTTCTCTAAATACGCACTGCCACCTCTTCCCAGGTAGTTCCCATCTAGTACTTTGGCATCCTACCCCTGCAGTCAACAGAATAACCATGGTATCCATCACCAAACACTTGTTGCAGACGTCTGAATTCTGCTCTGCAAAATACAAGAGAGCAGCACTTTGCATTCAGGCAGGTTTTGCTTCAAGCCCTACATCTGCAGGGTAGTTTGCAGTAAAATAAAGTTTGGAGAATGCTGCTCTTCAATTATCTAAACATCATGGCTTAAATTACTCATCACAAGAAATTTGTGATATTCAGTGTTCTTTGAGCATTTTTTTGGAGAAGACTGCATTGAGTGTCAGTTAAAGACTGTGCCTCAATTAACAGGATACATAATTTATGTAATAATCTTGCTATAATTTTGATCTAAATAGCACACAGGGAATTTCATTCAGTTTTACATGTAAAAATGACTCTGAAGGGAAACAGCATGGGGAAAGCATTAATTATTACTTAAGTTTGCTATGTTACTAAAACTGAACTAATCTTTGCTTAACAATATTCTCTTTGGTCTCTTCAAGAGTTTTTTTTATTAGTAGTATTAATGAGCCTATCTTAAAGTGCCTGGATAGGAAAGGTTGGATCGAAGGGACTAAGTGTATTAAAATAAAAGTGTATTTTCCCCTTGGCTTCTGCTTTATAAAATGAAAAAGGCTGGTGGTACATATTTCAGAGTAAGCATTGTACTCTAAAGGTACTGCTTTAATGTGAATTAAATGCTGCACTGATTAGTATCTTCTCTTCCTGTGCACTGTTCCATGTTCTATATGTTTGAAGCATAATCAGTTGGGATAAGGTGTCTTGACCTGGATGTTTTACTTCACAATTAGAATCAAGCAACAGCATTTGTGAGATTGTTTCATATAATTGGAATGAGCATCTCTCTTCAATTTGGTGTATAGATAAGAGTCATTACAGCCTTTGAGACAATAGCAAACAATAGATTATCCTCCTGTCTCATTGCCGGAGGCCTGTGATTGTCATTCTGTTTCCACAGCGGATGGCAGTAATCAGAATTTTCATTCAGGCTGAAAAAAATATGACAGCCAGTACCCCAGGTTGTCATTGCAGAGGCTATAATGAACTTTGATGTATTTTGTTATATAAAAGGAACTTCAGTCTTTTCTGAAAAGAGCCTTTTCAGAATAATTTTCCAGGAAATTTCACAAAGGAGCTCCTTCAGGTGTAAAGAACACCTTGCAGTTGTGGCAAATCACAAACTGGACAGAAACTGATCAGAATTCCTCCATTGTATACTGAATTTTAATAAGCAAAGATCTGTTGCTAGTGTTCCATTCTACAGATTAACCTTGAATAATGATAAAATGACTTTTTAAAATTAATTGTTATCCATCTTTTTTATATTTACAAGGCATACCTGCACACGTACAGGTATATTATCTCTTATAAGTATTTTAATACAGTTCAGAAGAGTTTTTTTAGAACAGATGAATTTGCTCTATTTCTCTATAGTGATGACAATCTATGAAGAATACAGTTTCAAAAATCTTTCTGTATCATTTGAAGTCTACAGTGAGAAAGCTGACCACTTCCACACTCCATTAAGAGACACATTAGTACCAATCATATGTAAATAGGGCAAACTAATTTCTGACATAAAAATCCGCAAAATTAACTACTGCTGAAAATACCTACAAAATGCCTGAAACAGTAGCAGTGGCTGTAGGGTCAGTAGTGTGCTTCTGATCCTCAAACAGTCAGCTGAAATTACTTGCTCATTTTGTAAGAGTGTGTAAATAATAAATTGGTTTACAGCCTTTATAATATACTGGGCTTTGTACCACTGTATGTGCTACTCTGGATAAAACAGATCTCACTTTTGAGGGGCAATTTTCTTCCGGATCTTGGTCAAACTCACTAATTGTTGGGTTACAGTTAGCTTGACTGGGGATGGACAGGAGTGGACGCGCTGCCATCTTCTATATCTCAGCTATGAGAGAGACTCGCTTTAGAAGAGGGAGCCATGGCAACAGGAAGGCTCTCCGTGTATATGTAAATTCCTACAACTCTTTGAAGTAGTAAAATTGTTCCTGAAGTTGTCTGGACGGAGGTGTGTGCTGATGTAGCTGAGTGCCACGAGCTCTTTTCTGGCACCTGGATGGATGTGGGTGACACGGGTCTGGTCTCCCTGAGACTGAAGCGCAAATTCCAACCACCACTGCCATTGGTATATTCTCATGTAAATGGATGGCTTTTGCCTGTTTTGCAATTTTGGGGGATAAAACACTGGTGTCAGTAGTTAATTAGAAGATACAGAAGGTAGACTAGTCTGTTTTGTTCAGACACATTTCAAAACAATTAGTTTAGCTACTTTGTCTGGAGCTGAAGCACTGTACTGACCAAAATGGAACAGAGCACATTTCCAGGGTATATTTCATTTATTCTGTGTTTATTCTTGCCTACTGAGACTATCTGGAAACGCTGTACTTCAGCCATATGAATATCCTATATGTTTTATTTGCCTTATTGTGTTTCTTTGGATTTAGAAATATTTGTATTTCTGAAATATTTCTTCCTTCTTTTTGTTGAATTTAACTTTGAAGTAAATCTTACGAAATTTCTTCATGTATTTTAAATTTTCTTCTGTTATTCCCTGATAAATATCTCTATTTTCTGTATTAAATTTGCTTATGGCTTTATATCATCTTACAATAGGCAGCTAATGAAACATATAGAATACATTTCAGGAAAACTGAAGATTGGCTGGTGCAGCAACTTTTATTTGAAGTATTTTGGCTGTTTTAGGAATTGGCTCTTTCAGTATACTTACAGCTTGCATCAAGTATACGCTAAATGAGTAGCTGCTGGTCTTCATTAATTTTCACAATGGGAAACAGTAAGAGAATCAATCAGTCTGGGCATAAATATTTTATAGGTGTGCCCAAATATAAAGAATCTACTTTTTCTGCCATTTTTAT